TCAACAGATGGGCACTCAACAAGTCCTGTTAAGCTTGTCATCTGGTAATCCAGCTGTACCTCAGGTCTGGCTGCAAATGCTATACAAACGCTGAAGATGCCTCCGTAGACGGGCAACTTCCATGGAGAGGGCGCCTGCCTAAGTCAGGGATGAGGCCTCCCAATGATGGGTAAGGGATGACCCCTCCGGGACGACCTAAGACAGGGGGATCTTCCGTTATATAAAGGAAAAGGGATGAGATTTTGGGACATGCTGTCCTGGCCTCCATCTGCACCTTCCCCGCAGTGACCTTTTGGGCCTCATGGTTCCTCAGTCTCAGAATTGTTTACCAGCTCATTTTCCCGTATCAGGTCCTGAGAACACCATGACCTGGCACTGACCCTGCGGTCATGCAACGGCTCCCCCGCCCCGTTGGGTCAGCTGCCTTCTGGGCTAGGGTATAAAAGCAACCTGGGGCTGAGAAATAAAGGCTTCTTCCGCTACACTAAAAGTGTGGTTGTCTCTTCAATCCTGACGTCCTCCGCTCAGAGATCAGCTTCGTGCTGCGCAGTTGCGCAGGCGTGGCACTTTCACTTTTTCATAGTCTGACACAAGAAGCCTTAGGTTCACCTGAGTTTTTCTGTGCTCCATAACTTGGATGCATCAGTCCAAGAGCTCCTTAGATGGAGAATGGAGCTTAGAAATCCAGCTCTGTGACCTGGACAGGCTCACTGCTACCAGAAGCTGTTGCTTCTAGCACCTTTAAACACAACACAGAACTACAATTATTTTTTTTAAACTTTGTGTTCATGTTGATATTCCCAAATCAACATTTTGGTATCCTTCATGTTTGAGAAGCATTTCTGTAGCTTTTTCCTGTCTAATCATGTATTTTGCCCACTTTCCTCACAAGTTTTGCCTTTTCCTTCTTTAAGAGCTTATGTAATAGGGATATTGGTTTTCTGTTTGTTGTGCAAGTTGCAAAGATTTCCTACCCAGTCTTTCATTCATAATATCTGCTTTAGTTTCCCTGCCTGAGGCTAAAATTCTGAAAAGGACTTCTTGTTCACACAGGTGAAAACACATGTGTGGGGTAAAGAAAACCAGATCCCCATGTTCAGGGGGCATTATGCTGGGTGCTTTGAGAACATCTGTCTCCCAAGCAGACAAATTCTCAACTGAACCATTTGGCAGATCTTTAAATCTCATCCTTTATTTAAGATCTATAGGACTAAAATGTTTCAGAACTGAGAATTTTTCTGTTTTTAGCAAGGTCATATGGCACCCCAAACCATGTTTTTCTTTCAGCAGGGAACCATCCTGAAATCATAACACATAAAGAGTCTTGTAATGAAACACATGAATGTCCTCACGAATGAGGTTACATGAGGACTCTAGATTCACCTCTTAATCAGGTCAGGGTTTCTGCCAAATGAAATATGAAAAACACTTGGTTTTAAAAATTTGAAACCCTGGGTTTTACTTTATAAGAAAGAGAAAGAAAAAAATGAAATGAAATACACATCTGACTTTCACCTCTCTCTCTCTCTCTCTCTCTCTCTCTCTCTCTCTCTCTCTCTCTCTTTTTCACGAGAGGAGGGAGCAAGCCCAGGAGGATGAAGAGTCCCGTGTGCCCTGTGGCTTCTCTCACTTCTCTTCCCACCACTTCCCTGAGCCAGGATGAGACTGAAATAGGGAGCTCTCCTGGTTGCCCTGCAGCCAGTATCCTTTTTACACTTGTTTAAAACTGATTGGGAGTTACGGTTGCTTACTGTTCCAGGAGAAAATCATAACAATACTTGCCTCTTTTCTACCACTTGAGGCAATTTTGATTAAGTCATGTATCTATGAAAATGTGTTTCTTAAGTATTTCCATTTTTTTCATCGTGAAAGTTTTCAAAACCATCCTTATTCCGTCTGGTTAATTTGGCTTAAGCTCTATCAATTTTGTCTATCTTTTTATTTAAAAATAATTTTAGGGGACTGGAGAGATGGCTCAGTGGTTAAGAGTGGCTAGTCTTGCAGAGGAACCAGGTTTGGTTCTCAGCTCTCACATAGTAGCTAACAACCATCCACATAGTTCTAGTTCCAGGGGATCTGATGTCCTCTTCTGACCTTATGGGCACTGCATGATGCAGGCAAAACACTCATATACATGAAATAAATTTGAAAAATTAAAAAATTTAAATTTACATTTTCAAATTTATTTTGTGTTTCTCCGTGCACGTGTCGCTGCATTTATGTGGAGGTCAGAGGACAACTTGCAGGAGTTGGTTCTCTTATCACTTGGTGGGTTAAGGGGATTGAACTCAGGTTGTCAGGCCTGGTGTCAAGTGCCCTTATCCACTGAACCATCTTACTGGCCCGTGTTTAAAGACCCAAGTCTCAATTCTTTGTTTCATTGGTCATTTGTTTGAAAGCATGCCTACTGTACAGTTTTGCCATAAGGATGAAATAAGATGACACAGATAAGGGCTTGAGGGCCCATTAGTACTAAGTTGTAAGAAAAACAGCATCTAGGGAAGGCCTTTTCAAGCTGGAACACTTAATTATCCATCTAAGGCATAGAGAAAATAGAAGAGGAACATTCAAATCATAGAGACAGGGCAGTTTTGTAACAGTTTGGGACTTTTTTCTATTAAGGGATGGAGGGAAGATTTAAGAAAATAAAACAGAGGTTAAAAATAACTGAATTATTTTAACTGAGTAGCTTTATTATTTATACACAATAAAGGCAAGACCTCAGCATAATGTTAATGCAGGGGAAAATACACTGAGCCCTGGGTGAGTTTTGAGGGCTATGTAACCTTCCAACTTGCGACTGTGGGAAAAACTAGTCACACACTAACTTGCTGCTCTTGGTGACTCCTTTGGACCGTTCAGCAGGTACTGACATCCCTACAGACTCAAGGTCTTTAGTGGTAGTGAATCTTCATACTGTAAAGAGGAACTTTTATTTTTTGACAAGAAAACAGACATGCAGTACCAAACCTAGTTAAGTGAGTAAGCTATCTGGAGAATGCATTTTAATAAATTAATTACATTATGATGGAATGGTTTTTACATTTCATTTTTTATTCTTCATTGATAGTATACAGAAATAAATTAATTTTAGACATTGAATTATATACTGTTACTTTGTTGAATTTCTTAATTAGCTCTAATAGTGTGTATGCTAAGAATATAGATACATATATATATTATATGTATATGATCGTGTCTGCTGCTAAGTAGTTTTAGTCTACCCTTTCCAACTTAGATACTGTTTCTTTTTCTTGCCTCATTACTCTGGATCAGAAATAATGACCTTCCTCATCAGTCTTCATCTTAGGAAAGGACATTTTCAGTCTTCCGCTATTGAGAATATTTCAGAAAATAAACAACAGACTGTTCTGTGGTCATAATGTCAATTGAATCAGAAGCCAATGAAGAAATTATGCCTAGAATTTCTTATAAGTTTGGAAATTGTATGGTACCCCCTTCTAAATAAAAAGTCAAATGAAGAAATCTCTACAGTGTGTTTGAAGAGAACAGAAGTGAGCAAACTCGGCATTCAAATGCACCTCTCTCTGGCTTGGGGATTCCACTTCGGAAGTTGTAGTCTTCAGATCATCCCTTGAGAACCGAGAAGGTGCAATGCCTCAGACAGATGTAGATGTGTCAACACAGCACATCACTCTGGGTAAAGTACTTGCTGGGCAAACAAGTAGACCTGAGTTTGGATCCCCAGTAACATGGTGTGCATGTAATCCCAGTGCTGGGGGATTCCAGGCAATTTAGCCAAAATAGTGAGCTTCAGGTTGGGTGAATGGACCACATGGGGTACTGTTTATGTCAGTATTTATTTGATAAGGTTTCACTATGCAGGCCCAGCTGGCCTGGAACTCACTATGTAGGCCAGGCTATCTTGAACTCATAAAGATCCACCTGCCTCTGCCTCCTGAGTGCTGGGATTAAAGGCATGTGACACCACACCTGGCCATTTTGTTAATATTTTATTACCCACAACCCCAGCCTAAGAGCTCACCAAGGCCATCTAAAGAACTGAGAACTTCTAGGATGTGCAGTAACTAAGTTTGGAAGAACATAAATGTTGGGGTCTTGGTTGTCCCTTCTAATCCTACTCTTCCTTCCCACACCATTCTCACCCTACCACATTAGGCAAACTGAGCCACCTGGGGTTTGTCTGAGGTTACAGTTTAGGTTCTGGGTTGATTGCTGGCTACATCTGACCAAACTCCTTTCTCCGAAGTTCCTTCCTTTGGATTTTGCCGGTGATAGTTTTAGGCAATTCTGGAACAAACTCGATCTGATAGAGGAGAGAGCAAACGCATCCTGACTTAGGGCTGCTGTGACTTCCTTCCAGTTTCCCACTCCCTGCCTCACTCCATAGAGGCTGACACCCCGTGGTGACCTCAGTGAGCTCCACCAAGTGTTGCAGGCTCTCCTCCTGATTCCCTGAAGGAGGGTGTAGTCATGTGACTTGCTTTGACCCATGAAATGTGAGAAGTAGTGGAATGTGTCTTCTATAGGCAGACGAGTTTGGAACCATTAATACCGGGCACCGTCTTTTCTATCTCTTACACCGCAAAAGCAGGTGTCTCTGTGGTGCCCCATCCCAAGATGAGGGGGCTATGGAGCAGAGGTTGTAGAGAAGCCATAGTAGACATGAGCAAGAGACCGTCACTGCCATAAACTTTATTGTTTGGGGCAGTGTGTTTCATATAGTAACATCTAACCCAATCTGCAAGATAGACTTGCCTATTGTCAAAGCCTGATTTGAATTCTTTTGAGTTCCAGCGCTGCCTCTTGTTGACTACCACCTCAGGAAACTGGAGACTCTTAGCCTCATTTTTGTTTCTATAAAACAGGTTGTTTGCATGCTCTTAGGCCGTGAGTGGCATGGAGTAACAGTGCATTAGGTCCAGAGTCTGGCACATATGGTAAGTACACAATACATATGAGCCCTGCAGCTTCCTAACGGCACACTGATAAACATTCAGACAGTGCAGGAAAGGACTACAAAAGAGGAAGAGATTGACTTTTCGACATGTGCGTTCCTGTGCGCTTTATTTTAAAGCATCAGGATAATGCTGGGCATAGCTCTTCTTATTTGTCTTTTCTCTTAATATATTTGTAGGGTATTTTATGCCCAAACTAGAAAAATCTGACGCTGGAGATGATGCTTACTTGTCATCCTAGCACTCAGGAGCCTCAGGAGGATTTTGAGTTTGAGGCCAGTCTGACTACACAGTGAGTTCTAGACCAGCCTGACTGATAGAGAGACACTGTCTCAAAAAATAAACTAAAACAAACAACATAATATAGCATAACATAGCAAAATAAAATGATATAAAATAAGAAAAATGAAATAACAAAATGAAATAAGATAAAATAACATAAAATAAAAAAATGTGTACCAACAGCTTAAATTACAGGCTAACCTTCAATTTGTGACTAAATCATTTCACTGTTATTGGACATTTTTGCAGGTTTCACGTGGCATTTCAAACAAACGCAATAGTGAGCATTTCAGAATGGACTGCGTATAAGAATCAGTAGTTTGTATACGTTTGCTGGTTTTATGTATGTGTAGGTGATTGAAGCTGCAAAATCAGGTGTATTTCCTACTGTGAATCATGTTTTAAAAGTTGAAAAGCACTGATTTTAATTTCTTTTTAAAAATTTACAGGATAATGAATAATATTTAAAAATATCTTTGGGCACATTTCTGACATTTTTCTTTAGGTTAAAATACCTCATTGATGGGGCTGGAGAGATGGCTCAGTGATTAAAAGCACTTGCTGCTCTTGCAAAGTACTGGCATTTGGATTCCAGCATCCACATCAGGCCGCTCACAACTGCCTGTAACTCCAGATCCAGGGGATCCAATGGCCTCCTCTGGCTTTGGGGGGCACCTGCACTCATGTGATGCATGTAAACTCATGTAGACACACATACATAAATGTAAAAATAATGAGTGAGTCAAAGAAAAAGCCTCAATGGATTCTTTGTGGTTTTCTGGTATGGAGGAGGGTTCCCATTTTAATAAGTGTGGTCCATCCCACTTGTATTAGAAACTGCCTCTTTTTCAGAAGAAGAAAAAAGCCTGTTGACTGCCTAAACTTCCCCCTCCAGAGTCACCCTGTGAGACATGGGGCAGCGGAAGAAGGGACCTGCTGAAGCCACCGGACCTCTCCATCTGGCATCACTCACCTTCCGGGGGTACTTGTATGGTGCTGTTACTGATTTCACATGCTGCTGAAGCTCTTTGATAAGTTGGACCTTATCATGGGACAGGAACTCAGGGGTCAGGACAATAAATGCCTTCACGACCTGTAGAATGAGAGTGAAGGCTCAGGCGAGTGTCACACATCACAACAGAACTTTGTAATTAAATGTTTTTTTGCAGGAATAGAAAACACTATAGGCTCTGTTGATGCTTGAGACTGTAGTGATAAAGCACATGAGGACTTTGGAAGAGGAGAGGACCAGGTTAAAATCCATGCCTTCCTGAACTACAGCAACAACAAGCCTGGCAAGATATGTCCACTGGTGCAACAGTGGCAGGAAATATTCTGGGAGTTACCAACCACTCTCTAATTGATTTAAGGTCTGCTTCCTAGGATGGAGCCCATACCTGACACTGATAGCAGGCTTAGGAACCAGAGGCTAGACAAGACATAGGGACAAGCCTAATAGTAGCTTTCTACTCATATTAAACTGAGTCCTAATGACTTATTATAATCATAAATTAATGCATCACGCAACTCTCAGCAGAGAAGCTTCCTATGCAGCTGACGGTGATTAACACAGAAACCTACAGCTGGCCAATGTGCAGTGAGTAAGAGGCTATAGAGTGCGTATCACTGAGTAGGACACCTGTATCAAACTTCTGCCTCTCAGGGCTCAGGGATCATTGAGGAAGAGGGAGCAGGAAGATTGTAAGAGCCCAAGGAGGTGGATGACCACAATGAAACAGTTTTTCAGACAGCTGGTCAGTTACTCATATAAGCTCACAGCAATGGGGACAGCATGCACAAGTCCCATGCAAGCTCAAACCAGACAAAATTTCAGCATAGACGTGGAGAAGAGGATAAAAAAAACCCAACTTAATGAACTCTTGGCAACTAATGGCTGCTGAGTCGGGGAGAGACAGTTTCTTTCAAGAATGGGACTCTTGGTAGGTTAACCAGGCTCCAGTGAATAGACCCACACTTAAGGACATTTGGGGACACAGGCTGGACTATATATCATCTATATCTACATCTATATCTATATCTATATCTATATCTATACCATCTATCTATCTACCTATATATATGGAGTATATTAAATTGGGCAGGGGGCAGTGCTGAGGGGGAGGAGTCTAAATACCATCAGGTTATATTCTATGAGAATTGCAAACATTTAATTAAAAAAATTCAAGCTTAAAAAAAAGAGTCTTAGGTTACTGGGTTTTGTTTTACTTATTTATTTTTTGCACTCTACCACCCAAGCCACATCCCCAGCCTCAAATTACTGGGTTTTATTTATTTATTTATTTATTCATTCATTTATTTTTGGTCTTTTTGAAGCAGGGTTTCCCTGTAGCCCCAGCTGTCCTGGAACTCACTATGTAGACCAGGCTGGCCTTGAACTCACAGAGATCCAAGGGTGAAATGATTTGGTACACAGCAACAGCTTACTTCGCCATGTAGGGTCATTTGAATCACTAATGAGGCTACAGTGCTCCCTCGTGACCATACCGTGTAAGTGCGCACTCACACCAGCTGCCTTAGTTCCACCTCAGGTCCCCAGGCTGTGGTGAGGCCTTGCAAGTGTCCTCACCCCTGTCATTCCCTACAGACAAGGGGCCTCTGTGTCTTCTCACCTCTCCCCGCTCAGGGTCCGGGCTGCTCACCACAGCTGACTCAGCCACCGCGGGGTGCTCCACTAAGGCGTTCTCCACCTCCCCTGGTCCTATGCGGTACCTGGAGAATTAGTTGCTCTTTGCAGATATCAAGGCTCCAGTGAATCAAGTCTTATAGCTTGTACTTTAAGGGTCACATGACCTCTTGACAAAGAGATTGGAGGTAATAGGGAGCCAGAGACTTGAGATCAGTGTTTTGGGCCCAAAATGTGAAGATAAGGGCATTTTATGTTAAAAATGCCTGACTTAGGTGCTCCTGCGGATGAGATAGATGGCAGACTGCTTGGTCTCTGCAGAGCTCTGGGCACTTGGCCCAAGCAGTTTCCTCAGCACCAGAGAGTTCTCGGGATCCTCAAACTCTGTTAGCAAATACTGCATCCTCTTGTATCAGCGTGCTATTACTTTATTTTAGTTCATAGTTTTGCCTTTTAGTTTCTTTCTCCCTCCTTTCCATCCTCTTTTTCCTTTTTTCCTTTCCCTTTCCTCCTCCCCCTTCCCTTCCCTTCCCATTGCGCCCCCCCCCCGCCTGTTCTGACAGACAGAACTTACTGTGTATTCATATGCTTAGATAAGCCCCTTCCATTGGGGTATATCCCAAGCCCTCTTCCCCCCCCCCACACTTTTTATATTGAGATAGATAGGCTTTTGCTAAGCTGTCCAGGTTGGCCTTGAACTGGCCCTGTTGCACAGGCAGACCCTGGACTGGGGATCCTTCTGCCTCAGCCTCCTGAGTACCTGGGATTATAGGCCTATGCCACCATATTCTTGGCTCCCCCTTCTTTACTTGTGTAATGTTTTATTCCTCCTTGAACTTCGTATAAATTAATTCTTCAGCTGCGGGGGCAGCAGAGGTATCCAGGTACCAGGCATTAGGGTACCCTAGACAAGGCTCTGTTCAGTCAGCCTGAGGGTCCCATCATTGAGGCTTGGAGGAATGTCAGGCAGGCAGGATACCATGAGGCATGTGAAGGTGTCAAGGGTCAGCCCAGGGTCAGTCACACTTACCCAGAGGCATTGATGATGTCATCACCCCTCCCTAAAAACCATAAGTAGCCGTCGTCATCAACCTTTGCTCTGTCCCCACTGTTGTAAAAGTCCCCACATTCCACTTCAGCTGTCTTCTCTGGGTTGTTCTGTAAACAGAACAGAGTACATTTGTTGACTGAAGTGAGTTTAGAGATGATGAGATAAAAATTTGGGTTCGGATCTGGGTTTGAGTTCTGCCTCTCGCTCCACTGGGTACCAGGACAAGCTTTACAATCCCTTTGATTCTCTTTTCCTTACTTGGAAGCAGTTGATGTGCACTGCTGCTCCACTAATGAATGTTATTCAGCAATTTTCATGATTTTTTAAAAATTATTTATTTAATAACCACATACTTAGAAGAAGCATTTCATTACAACAGCATTGACATAGCTATTCCTGAGCTAAGATGCATCTGAGCTAAGATGCATCTCTTTCAAAATTGGCTGTACATTTTTAGGTTTACAGTTGAATTATTACAGTTATACAATATTGTACTCAGTATAAACCCTATAAGACATAAAATTAAATGAGATTTTAACCTTTAAAAAAGATCTCCATTTCATTATTAAAATACATAATTTCATACAGAAAAATTCGTTTTTAATGCAATTGACATTAAGATGTTTGTACAGGCATTTCTAATCTCTATATATCTGATTATTACTAGTCACAGTCAGTTACTTTCTGAGCTCCTTGGCATCTGAGCATGTATATAAAGTCATCAGGTAGATTTCAATGGTAATGGTTTTCACATCTACTAATTATTAAGGAGCAAATTTTTATACTTTGAATAATTATTTTTTAATCTTTAAAAAATTTTTTAATAACTACATGATTAGAAGAAGCATTTCACTACAGCTTTAACATATTCAGTAACACACTCCAGAGAAAGAGTACATCTCTTTCACAAATGGGTGCAAGTTTCTAGTTTCACAGTTGAATTAATACAGTTATACAACGATTTTTTTTAAAAAAAGCAACAGAGTTTTGTGTGACTCTCCCCCAGAATGAAATTTCCACTCCAGTGAGAATCTTGTTAATTTTGTTCTCTGCTATAAGCTCGGCATCTACAGTTCTGGGACAGCTGAGAAGAATCACTTAACAGTCATAGTGAATTTTCTTCCCAAAATGCTATCTCACTAGCTCACTGGAGCCTCATGGGAAGCCTATGCATCAGGTGCTTTATAAAGTATAATTTCATTTAATGTAATCGTAGAGTTGCATACAGTTTTAAGAAATAATACAGAGAAATCCTATGTGCCCTTTATCTACTATTGTTTAATATTTCAATCAGGATATAGACATTGATCTAATTCATTGATTTCTTCTGGTTTACTTGTGTGTGTGTGTGTGTGTGTGTGTGTGTGTGTGTGTGTGTGTGATGCAATTGGATCACATGTATAGATTCCTGTTCCCATCATAGCAGTCCACACACGGAGCAGTCCCACCATCTGGCCTCTTTTTATGAGGCTTTTCTAAGTACAATCATTGTGGTGATTTGAATGAGAATGTCCTCCATAGGCTCCAAGTATTTGGACACCTGGTCCCCAGTTGTGGCGCTGTTTGGGGAGGTCATAGAACCTTTAGGAGGTGTGGCCATGCTGGAGGAAGCACGTCACTGAGGGTGGGCTTTGAAAGTTCATAAGCCTTCCCAGATTTCCAATTGTGCGCTGCTTTCCATGCCTACTTGAAGGTGTGATTGCTTGACTTTCTGCTCTGGCCAGCTCTGCCTCATGCTTCCTGGGCCATTATGGACTTTAATCCCTCTGGAATCTTAAGCCAAATAAACTCTTCTTTCTATAAGTTGCCTGGTTATGTGTTTTATTGCAGCAACAGAAAAGTAACGGATACAGTCATCTTCCTTCTCCTTACTCTCCCCTCACCGCTCTAACCCTTTAGCAACAGCTAATCTTTTTCCTTGACACATAGTAATTGAACATATTTGTGGAATACAAGGTGATTATATATATATATATATACACACATATGTATGTATATAATCGGTAAAGATCAAATCAGGGTAATTAGACTTCCACCCCCTGAAATGTTTTCCATTTCTTTGTTTTGGAAAACTTTGAACTCCTCTTTTCTAGGTCTTTATAAAATACATAAGAAGTTATTATAGACCCTTGTCACACTACTGTTCTTTAGAACACTGGAACTCATTCCTCCTAACTATGTTTTTGTGTCTGTTGTACAAACTCCCTGATCTGCCAATCACCATTATTGTCTCTGGCCTGAATATGTTAGATATGCTCAATGAGCTAAGGGGGTAATGGATAAAGATTCCATGGAAAAAAAATCAGTAGATGGCTTAACAGCATATTAAAACATGCAGAAGGAACCAAGGAACTAAAAAAATACAGCACCTGATAAGCTTAAGTCCCAGGAGGAAAGAAAAGAATGCAGAAAAATGAACAGAGTTTACGGGACTTATGGGACATCCTGAGGCCAGTCAAAGATGCCTTGCAAGAACCTCTGAAGAAAGAGAGAGGAAGTTTATGCAAAGAATTATGTGTGTGTGTGTGTGTGTGTGTGTGTGTGTGTGTGTTTGTGTGTGTCTACGTGACTCTTAATGCTGTCTATCGGAATCTCCCGAGATTTGTAACACACGGTCAGGCAACGCCTCCTTGAGGCCATAGCGTGAAGACAGTCATGACACCAGGAGAACGTCTAGTGAAGTATATTTGGAGAGAGGAGACGGAGTCTGAGATCAGTTTCAGGGTCCGGTCACCCTTCCATGGTCAATCTTGGATGCTAAGAATTTTCCCTTTGAGACCACTACTAACCAGGATGGCTGGAGTTTATTTGACAAGGAATTTCTGCAGGTTTTTTCATAGTCCAACCCAGTTTTCTGTAGTTCCTTCATTTCTCATTTAAGGGTTGACACCTAAAAGACTTGGATTCTAGACCTACTGTTCAGCTGACATGGGTAAGACATGAAATACTTCCAATCTGCAGTTTTTCCATCTGCAAAGAAGGTAATAGAGCCTATTGGAGACTCAGTGAGGGTAAATGGTATGTTCGCATTCTGTTGTTGGTAAGAGGGATGGTTTTATATATATATTACATATAAATATATATAATATATGTATATATATATATTTTTTTGACCCGGCCAATTAACTACAGGAGTGACTGAAATCTCAGTGGTGATTCTGAGGCTGATTTTCTTTCTATCCTATCGGTTAGCTCTTAAATCTCAAGTGGATTAGGACCCAAAGGGCTGTGGCAATGTGCTGAGAACTTAAGATGTAATTAAAATTGACTTCATCAAGTTGGAGTGAAAAAGATGATCTGGGCCAGGCATGGTGCCACACACCTTTAATCTCAGCACTTGGGAGGCAGAGGCAGGCAGATCTTTATAAGATCAAGACCAGCCTGATCTACTTAGTGAGTTCCAGGCCACCTGGGACTACAGGGAGACCCTGTCTCAAAAAACAAAATAGAACAAAACAAAAAATTCAAACAAAAGAAGAAAGAAAAAGGTGACCCTGAAGAAATCTCAGGGTGTAGAGCTCCCTGCAGGAATACTTGAGGCTGGGAGTGGGGTAGGGAGCGGAATGCTGTTACCTCGTAGCACATGAAGAGTCCAAGGGGCCTGATGGGCTTGATTCTGATGCCAATGTATCCTTCAGTGTTGGGTGGGAGGATGTTGCCCTTCTCATCGATGATCTGGAGCAAGAAGTGGCCTCTGAGTCCCACAGTGAAGGACTCTCCCAGCCCTCTGCACCTCCCAAGCACTGCATGGTTCATCATGGGACACTTGTGAGGATAAATGGGGTTACTGGTGGAGGAACTGTCAGAAAATAGAATAAAACTGTCAAAAGCTTCTGAAATCAGTGAATGTGGAGCCCAAGACAAGGGTCTACTTGTTTCACGGGAATGTAGAGATCATCAGTGTGTCTGCAAACCAGCAAACAGCATCACTTGTAGGTATTATTCTTTCCCATCCACCATGTGTGATGGAGCTCTCTGCCAGGTGAGTTGTATTTGTGCCCACAATAATGCAGTTTTCACCTGAAATCTCCATAGGCAGTTTGGGGAAGATAGGAGGGGATGGCCAGGGCAGGGAGGGGTGGGCTGGTTCTTGCACCTGCTGTCCCACAAAGCACCAACCCCAGCTGAACACTGAAGTGCTCCCCGTCAATGCCCTTAGTTCCAGACCTGAACGTCAAAGGGTGAGATAGCCTTCCCCATGGAACCCATCTTAACCTTCATTTCCCGAAGGACAGCACAGGTCATTCCCTGTTCAAAAAAGAAGATTGAGTTTGGTCAAAGCAGTCAGAATCACACACATACCACTCACAGAGGCCATGCGTTGCTACACAAAAGGCTTGAGGGGAATCCAGAAGAATGGGATTCTAGGCTCAAGGCACTGACCCAACTCTATTCAGTGGACATATTTTATTCTCAGCATAAGCCGGGTCTATGCTACCTTTGGGGTTGATAGAGTCCAGTGATTGAGGGGAAGAAAGAAACAAAGAGGGTAAGCCCGAGGCTATGGCACATCAGGTGGGGTGTAGGATGTCCACCATATGTCAGGCATGAGTCACTTTGTCAGCGGAAGGCTCCGAGTCCGTTGAACACACTTGTTCACCTGGTCATTAGTGATAGGACCCCTGTCTCATGGGGTTCAGATAGTTTATGTTGTTTTCCTGCTGGTAACCCCGACCTCATTTGTTTTCCTGATGAACTCGGTTCCTCCTTTCAGTCTTTCCTTCTTTCTATTTTGAGCACTTTATAGTCAGACAGATTCTGTGCCTGTATCTTCTTTTGCCAAAAGGAGACAATAACACTTATTTCTCATCGTGTTTGAAAGTATATGGAAGACCCCCTCCTTTTTTTTCTTGGTATTTGAGACAGAGTCTCTGCTGTGTCCGGGGCAGGCCTGGAACTCACTATGTAGCCTTGAACTTGGGATCTTCTTGCTCAGTTTCTTAAGTGATGGGCTACAAGCGCACACGCACACACACACACACACACACACACACACACACACATATACACACCCTACACAGGACTTTACAGGGAAATCTTTACACAATATGAGGTGCACACAGAAAATTCAGTGAATGGCAATTACTAGAGATTACTCAGACCCCAAGAGGAGCCCATTGACCAATTTCTTCTGTGGTATTTTTTCCATACAGCTCTGTGCAGTTCAAGTTCACAGTCATTACAGTTTTTTTTTTCATTGTCCATTCAGTGAATATGAAGAAACCCCAAATAGAGACTGTCCCCCTTCATATGTGCACTCCTGGCATCTGTCTACCTAAAAACCCAGGGACTACAGTAATTTCAGTATGAACCATAGGCTTGGCATTGTGGCTAGAATTTGATCTATTTAACTGATCACGATCCAGCAAGAACAGCATTACAATAATATGAATTTCAGAAAGGGGGATGATGACACTCAGAAAGATTGACTGACAAAGCTATGGTATTGAGGTCTGTAATGGACAGGGCTGAGACTTGTATCCAAGCTGAGCTCCTGGGTGTGGATGCTCTTTCCCATGAGCAATGCCACTGTTCCGACTACAGGTGAGTGAAGGTTGCAAGAGTGAATGAAAAGTGTGAAGCACTTGGAGGAAGAAAGCACCATCTGCTGTGCAAAGGGGCTGGGGTCACTGGGGGAGCACGCTGTTCTCACTCCCTTCTTCCTTGTCCACATAGAAACTATGAACCAGTCAATAACAGGTCCAGAATCTTAACAGTTAACCAACTCACTGATTTTTTAACAACAACAAAACAAACAAACAAAAATCAGATAAATATGTGAATTATATCTAAGATAGTCAGTTTTCTATAAGGCCTGAGAGAGCAGACACTACTGTATTAGCTAGAGTGATAATGAGAAGTGACTTTGTCTAATCATCAGACATCAATGGTAAACATGTTGGAAAAAAATGACTAATCACACTGTCACTAATGAAGCCCTTGAAGTCCACAACATGCGCTATCCTCTGAATTCCCTGTCCATCTGGTACCTCAGTGATACTCTGGGATCTCATTGAGGGTGCCCATGTATGTGTATGCATGTGCATGTGTGCATGTATACATGTGTGCATGAGCGTGTGTGTGTGTGTGTGTGTGTGTCTGTGTGTCTGTGTCTGTGTGGTATATGCAGAAAGTCTTTGTCACCTCACCCACCACTGTTATTATTACATAATTAAAACCTGTGTGTTGTCCTCTTAAATGCCCAGGTATAAACTTCTAAAGCCAGCTCCCAACTACCTCTGCATGTTGCCACCCTAGGATGGGATGGTAAGTTGGCAGGATCTGCTGGCAGTGTTCTCCACATTGCTGGAGAGATTTTTATATCCCATCACTCCTCATGGTCTCCCTTGAGCTGACAATCACAGGCACAACATCAAAATGACCTCCAGTCTCTTTCTAGGCTCTCTCCACCACTTTTCAGTGCATTGATCTCTCAATGACTTGATGAGCTGTACATTTTCTTTCTACACATTGATTTGGGGTAAATTAGCCTTGAACCCTGGAGTCTCTTGTTAGCTTTGAGCAATGCTATGTATATAGGAGGCCTCAGCATGCACTCAGGTCATGACCAGCCCACTGGCTGTGCCTGGTTGCTGAGGCTATCCAAATGGCACAGCAGGGGTCTGTCCACCTACCGTTTCTGACTGTCCGTAGATCTCATGAATCAGAAGGCCCGTCTGTTTTCTCCATTGATCTTGCTCCCCAGGCAGCAGGCTTTCCCCACCAGTAGTGCAATGTTCCAGGGTAGGGAACCGGAGACTTAAGGGAAGGCAAATGTATCAGACCTTGGACAGGCACTTTGTCACCTGGAGCATTCATCCTTCTGTTCCCTCATTTTCTTATTCCCTTCTTTCTTTTAACTGATGGCCAAAGCCAAATTGATGCCACTCCCCTCCTCTCAGTCCCTGTTAACTTCTGGTAGAGGTGAAGGGACGGTGGTGAAATTGTAGGATTGTATCAAGGATGTTTGAGTTAAGTTTGGATGTTGATGTAACAAGAGTAAGACAGGTGTGTTCCTAAGAACTCACCTTAGAAAATCTTCCTATGTGGTCAAGAGAGATAATTTTATAGACCATAAAGGGGTGAGAGACAAGACCCCATAGGGCATGCTGGGGTACTAGCAGAACTGCACTGCCTTCCAGGAGGGGTGTGTTGTGCTAACAGGAATTTTCTGAATTGGGGTGAATATCAGGTTTGGAAATTATTTGTTCAGGACATGAAAGCCAGTTAGGCTGAATGTAGGAAAATACAGAAAGGTAACAGGAAAAAGAGTTTGAGAGAGAACAGAAATCAGAGAGGAGAAATTTCAGGGAAAACAGAAAAATTTTAGGTAAACATTTTTTTTTTTCTCCTCTCAGTCCCTGTTAACTTCTGGTAGAGGTGAAGGGACGGTGGTGAAATTGTAGGATTGTATCAAGGATGTTTGAGTTAAGTTTGGATGTTGATGTAACAAGAGTAAGACAGGTGTGTTCCTAAGAACTCACCTTAGAAAATCTTCCTATGTGGTCAAGAGAGATAATTTTATAGACCATAAAGGGGTGAGAGACAAGACCCCATAGGGCATGCTGGGGTACTAGCAGAACTGCACTGCCTTCCAGGAGGGGTGTGTTGTGCTAACAGGAATTTTCTGAATTGGGGTGAATATCAGGTTTGGAAATTATTTGTTCAGGACATGAAAGCCAGTTAGGCTGAATGTAGGAAAATACAGAAAGGTAACAGGAAAAAGAATTTGAGAGAGAACAGAAATCAGAGAGGAGAAATTTCAGGGAAAACAGAAAAATTTTAGGTAAACATTTTTTTTTGGTCTTTTGAGACAGGGTCTCCCTGTAGCCCCAGCTAGCTTGGAACTCACTATGTAGACCAGGCTGGCCTTGAACTCACAGAGATCCACCTGCCTCTGCCTCCCTAGTGCTGGGATTAAAGGCAGGTACCACTACACCTGGCTAAACATTTATATTAGTTTATTAGTTGCATCATGAGATATAATCTCTCTCTTCCATTTTCCCCATGAAGTTTCCCTGGACTAAAAATTTCAAAATAATGTGATTTATTTATTTATTTATTTATTTATTTTTATTTTATGTGTATGAATGTTATGCCTGCATGTATATAAGGCACCCATGTCATGAAGTGCCCATGGGGGCCAGAAGAGGGCATCGGATCCCCTAGAATTGGAGGTAAGGACAGTTGTTATCCTCCACATGGGTGCTGGAATTTAAACCCGTGTCTTTTGCAAGAGCAGCTAGTTCTCTTAACCACAGAGTCATCTTTCCAGACCCAAATAATGTTTCAATTATTCTAAAGAACATGGGAGGGAGGTGACTGAGCTCTGAATCAGCTGGCTCAGGGTGAGGCCTGGACAGTTGCTGGAGAGATAGAAACATCTGGACCACTTGCTTTCCCTCTCCTCACCCTCTCTTGATATATACAGAGTCAAGAGAGAGGAGCAGTAGGCTAGTTTCCCTGAGAGCATCTTTATTTTAATGTCCGTAAGGTGGTCAGACTCTTAGAAGAAGACATTGATTAATTCTGCACTGGTTTTATCTCTACTGGGTTTGGACAAAGGCTACCACCCGAGGAATGTAAAAATAGTTAGGTGTGATATGAGCTTTGAAATATGGATGGAGACAGAATCCAGCCAGACTGCGTCTTCTTGTATAAAATTGAGTTATAGTTCAATTGGGTTTGTAAGGGTAGTCATTAAAGTCCTTTATAATTTAGTTTTATGTGTAGAAAAGATATTAGCTCTGATTTTGAAGTAGATGTTTCAATTTCAGAGTTTCTAAAAGATACATAAATGTCCATAATATCCAAAGAGCAGATTCCAGGTTAGCTAAAAATCAACCCTCCAAGTATAAGGCAATGCAAAACTAAAACTTCAATAAGATAACACTACATATCCATCAGATGGGCAAAATTAACTCAGGGAAATGGATGTTGATAAGCCTGTAGAACAAAGGAAATCCTTTAATCTTGATAGAGGGAGCATAATTAGGTTTGGTACTTTGAAACTACTGAGGCAGTCTGTAGTATGAGCTAGGAATTCATCTCCTAGGAAAACGTCAGAAATGCATGTTTATCTGCACCCAGATTTCATACATCACATTCAGCGTAGCACTGATCACAAACAGTCCCCAAGCAAAAGCTAACCATGTCTCCATTAGTGGTAGGACTGTTACTCATATGAAGCCACAGCAATGGTGACAGCATGCATAAGTCCTATTCAAGCTCAAACCAGACAAAATCCCAGCATAGACACGGGCAAGTGGGTAAGAAACCCCAACCCTTCTGAGGAACTATTGGCAACTGATGGCTGATGGGAGGGGGAGAGTCAGTTCTTTTCAAGAATGGGACTCTTTGTAGATTAACAAGTCTCCAGTGGATGGACTTATAGTAAAGGACATTTGGGGACACAAATTAGACTCTATAGGCATTATTGTATAATACATTAAATTGGCCGGGGGCAGTAAGGAGAGCTACAGATAGAGGAGGGGATTTAAATACCATCAAATATATTGTATGAAAATTGCAAAAATTTAATACAAAATTTAAAAAATGATAGAACTGATTAAAAAATCCAACATATCATCATTAATGGGAAAATGATAAAAAATTGTGATATTTTCACAAAACATGATAAACAGCAATGAAGATAAAATATAATAATATGCAACATACATACATGTCAGACATATAATGTAGGAAACAGAAGCAAGACACCACAGAACAATGGCTGCATACATAAAACTTCAAAAGCATGGCAATGGAACTGTATTTCCTAGGTTGCTAAGCTATAAAGTAAACTAGAGAAACGAACACCATAAAATGGGAAGTGATTTTGTTTAGGGGATACAAGGAGGCATGTAGAAGTCTCCGAGGCATTGACAAAGCTCTATTTTCTGGACTTGGGTGAGTGATCACACAGATATTTTCATTAATCTGTAAATTTCAAGCACATCCATTTTGATTTGTTATGACACCATAAAAATGTGAACAAACTGTTTACAAAGAACGTAAGGCTATATCTTGAGCCCTAGGCTACGCTTTAGCTTAGACTGGTAACCATCACTACAAACACTTGCATGCACACATGCACACACCTGCATCCCAACCATCAAAGAACCCAAGGAAAATAAGCCACGACACCTCAGATTATGTTAAGATCTTAAATAACAAAGGTTGCTGTTACCAGCCACTGCTACGTACTTGGTAAATTTCGCCTGCAGAATCATTCGAAATACAGTTGGGGCAGCAAGGCATTGAGTGATGGGGTATTTGAATAGCACCTGAAAAGTGAGGAGAGAAGGAATTTTATTTTTAGAGCTAAGGTTAAAAATATCAGCATTTTAGATCTCCCCTCTAGGAGAGCCTTCTTGTTTGTTTGTTCTTCCAATATGCGAACATTGGGCATGGATTTCAGAAATGGCATGTATACTGTTGTGGGGGATGCAAAAGGGGTGGTGAGATTTAATGTTGCAGCTCTTATGAAAGGTAGATACTAACAGAGGAGATGACAAGAGGAGGCAAATGATAAGGTGGAAGTTGGTCGATGTCGTAAGAGAGATTTGAAGTTCTGTTAAGAACACAGCAGAAGGAAATAGATTGGTTGGAGGCTCTGGAAGGCTCATGGAGGAGGTTGAATTTAGTGGAGTCATTACTAAAGGAACATGGTGTACAGGCAGAGAGATGGGGGTGCTCATGAAGACAGAGGGATTCATGGGGAGTAAATCTCAGGAGTTAAAGAAACATTTCAGCAGAGTAGAACTCAAAATGGAACAGGGTCAAGGAATGTTGTTTTAGGCACGGGGTATTGAATGATTTAGGTTTATGGAATGAAGGAGTGGAGCCAATGAGGATGAAAAATGAAAAATACAACAGAAAAGGTTTACTAGATGAGAGGTTACTAGAGCAGACAGGGTAATGAATAGAATCTGAGCAGTAGACTTTGAAAAGTCAAGGGGCAGGTCTGATGCTGAGGCGGTAGAGTGGGTGAGTGGAACATAAAGAAAAATTTCCAGTGAAGGGATGTGTGTAAATAGAATTCATGCAGGTGACTTCAGTGGCCTCGCATTGTTTCAGTGGCCACTTGTGGAGTGTTTTCAATGTGTCAGCCTGAAGGCTAAGTCGTTTATAGGCTTGGCCTAGACCATTTCATTGATAGTCTTAAAGATTTTCTGCAACAATAACTATTAAAAAAGTCATTTGAATTTTTGGTTGGCTTGATCTTTTGTAGGTCTCGTGCCTAAAGGGGAAGCTGCTGTGGGATCATGTGTGCAATGGCCTTGGCGTGTCTGGAAAACATCATTTTGCAGCAGTCTTCTGCCACCTTTGGCTCTGACAGCTGCTTTGCTCCTTCTTCTGTGATGATCCTTGAGCCTTGAAAGGAGAGAGTGTGATAGATATAGATGTCCCATTTAGGGATGAGCACTCCACAGTCCTCTACACCCTGAGCAGTTTGATCATCTGTACTGATGGCCCATGTGCATACTGGCAGTATTAATTGTACACCATAGGTTAGAATAAGAGTACTTGAAAGGGAGAAGTGGTAAGGGGACTGTGAGGACTTGAAGGGTAAGGGGAGGGAGTAGGGGACAGATTCGATTAAAACACATTGTATATTTGCATGAGATTTTATATTTGAGAGAAAAGACCACTTGATAGATAAGGGAGCAACGGCTCTGACTGGAGACGAATACGCTAATCAATAGCAAGGGTAGAACAAGAAACTAGATCTGTATTATCCCAAGGGCTTGGGGTACACACACACACACACACACACACACACACACACACACACACAAACTTACTACCTGGCCCTAGCAGAGGTGTATATTCTGGGTCTCACATCTGCAAAGTTTGATGCACGGATTTGAAGAATGGCCCAGAAATATGCATTTTCTAACAGGTTACATTGTCATCGGATACTCATATTGTGACTCTTATTCAGTGTTCCACATGGTGAGAATCTCAGAACCAGGGTTACTTTATGCACACAGCCTTCTTTGGTTTAATGAATGTTTCTCAGCTGAGTCCAGCTTTGGGAAACATGGATTTCTTCTGGAAGGATTTTGATAGTAGAAGTGTGGTACTCTTACCTCTATAATGACCTTGGGGTCAAACTGGGGCAGATGGTGGATGAATACCGTAGCCCCTGATGTCCATGGTTCAATCAGGCACCCCACAGTAGCCAGAATCCAGCCTGGGTCTGACATACACCATAAGATGTCAGATGTCTTCAGCTGGAGCACTTTCCTGCTAACTCCAAGATATAGTGGCCTCAATTGTGCCATCATGGGAGCAAGTGGACAACAGCCCGAGAGCCATGTTTTTAGGCAGGAAATCACCCCCCATTCAGTTCATGTGATTTGTGTGGGCATTCCAGAGCACCCCTCCGAGTTCCCAAAGGTATATTACATTATGTTTCCTGACCACATGCAACTGGAATTGAGTCAGTCTTAATGATCCTGAAGACCTTTGTTAGGAAAGCTGGGATAGAGTCTATTGCTGTCTTACTGGATCTGAATCAGCCACTGATTCTGGCAACACTCACATACCAGAAACATTTGAGAGAGGAAAAGCTAATCTAGCCAGAGATGTCTGAAGCTAAACCTTGAGTTGGTCTAGTTCCTAAGCCAATAAATCCTCCATTTACTCTTTGGCTTAATGCGTTTGGTTTGGACTTTCTGTTGTTTGCAATGCGATGACATGAGAGAAGAGGCACGATTTTGGCAAGAGACTGGAAGCAATTAGTCAAAGGGTAATAACTGGTAGGTTAAGTGAGGGCGGTTTCTACCTTCTCTGCCTTTTATTGCTCCCAAGGGACCTCAGTGCACAAGTCCTTGGGAAAGTATAACGCTCCTCTTAGAAGGCTGGGGCTTTGAGAAGTTTTTCTGTTGTCAGCAACAAATTTCAGTAGACCATCTATGAGGCCCCAGCCCTTGTTCTGTCTGTTTTGAGACTGTGGCACCAGGGGGAGTTACTAGCTAGGAATTCCTTCTTCGGAGTGTCAGACCCTACTGCCTCCTGAACATCACTTTCATATCTATGGTTCTACAGACGCTGCCTGTTACATCCTTGTGCCTTAGCAAGTATCATTCCAAAGGCCTCTCTTTCACTTCTGAGGCTCTGCTCCTCAATTATCATCGCACTTCTAGTCCCTGCTTACAAGCAGCTGCCTCTGTTCCTATGCTGATTAATATGTTAGAAAACAGCTCGGTCTGTTCTGAATATTACTAGTTGAGGACGAGGGTAAGTGGTACACAAACAATTGGTTTAAAGATTTTTAAATGATAACCAAGGCTTAGCTTCAGCCTCCATATACTTCTTGTTCAAGACCAGAGGTGGTGATCTATGGTAGGTCAATTCCAGGCATTTTCTTTCCTGGAATTCCATTATTGAGAAACTCTAAGTCTGATTTCCTCATAATGGGAAGGAGGAGGGGTACCCCTCAGCACAGGCTACACTTCGAGAATTTTCTGTCTTTTGTCCATGGTCAGGGACACAATGACTTGTCATTTGTGCAGCTTGCAGAATGCCTTCCTGTGAGAGTGCTCAACAGAACACACAGAAGCCTCCTTTGTTATTCTAGGATCCTTGTGAGCTAACATCCAAGATCCCAGACCTTCATCTTCCAGCCCCTCAGAGGTTGAAGCAGAGAACAGAAGTAGAACAAAGATGGAGGCACTTCCACTCAGAACTCCATCCCAACCCCCCAACACACAGGTGCACACACACACACCTTGCCCCAGGGTTTGGACCTGGCCTTTAAGTTGCTGCCCGTTTCCTACCCTGAAGGGATGCAGGACCGGAAGGCAAGTCCTTGGTTGTGTTTTGCCATCTTGGGGAGACCTGTGGTCCCACTGGTGAAGAAGATGACCATGGGATCCTTCATCTTTGACTTAATACATGTGTGGTCTGGGGATGCTGATCTGCAAAGAGATTCAAGACAAAAAAGAGAGAGAGAAAAAGCCATGCTTGTTGTTTTTCCATTTTTAGATGAAGCAAGTGGAGTAGCTTGTAGCTTGAAGCATGGAATTGGGAGCCTGGAGATCTATCTACAAGGCTGGAGGGAAAATTGGCACTGCTGATGGCAGACATCCAACTGACTGTGGGGGTGATTTGGACAAGGGCACTAGCATGTCTTTAACTGAAAAGTGGGAAAAACAAAATGGATTAGGAAATCACAGAGTACTTAGTACTGCCTATATTCCAGGTGATGCTTTTAGTGAGCTGGAAATAGGAAGCGGTCCTGGATTGTGCATGGCCGCTCAGTCTGCTTTGAGTCTTAGGAGCTTCTTCCCAAGCAATAGGCTCCTGGGCTTTCTCTGATTGGAAAGGCAAGCTCTCTAAATATTTAAAGAAAATTGCAAATAATCTCAACATTGGCTTTGCTGGTCTTGCTAAGTAAGACATGGTATCATATTTATCCTGGGTAATTTGAGCGATTTTTCAAATATTTTCTTGATTTTAAACTGTTTTCATTTAATTCTCTGATTTAATTAGATATTACTTTGCTATACTGTTGAAACAAAGGGCTTTAGAAACTGAGGTGTTACTTCCAGGAAGTAAGGAAGTAAGCCCAGCATGGTTTGTGGTGTGAGATGCTCCTGAATGCTCACAGAATCAGGTTTTTTGTTTGTTTGGTTATTTTGCTTTTGTTTTTAGGGAAAAAAGTCTTTCACCAATTCTGCCCTAATTTTGCTTGGAAGCTGTCCCCAAAGACATCCAGTTCCCAGGAGATGGAAAGTCTTTACTCTCAAAGCTGCTATCCAACTACAATAGGAAATTCAATTTATTTTGAAGTTTTACATTTCGCCTTAAAATGAAATTTTTATCTTTTAAAAACTTCAGGGGCTGGAGAGATGGCTCAATGGTAAAGAGCACTGACTGCTCTTGTAGAGGACCTGGGTTCGATTCTCAGAACCCACATGGTGGCTACAAACCATCCTTAACTCCAGTTCCAGGGGAATCTGAAGCCCTCTTCTGACCTCCACAGCATTGCACGACATGGGTGCACTCATATACATGCAGGCAATACACTCATACACACGAAATATAAATAAAAATAATAAATAAAATATTCTTTAAAAACTTCATATATACATTTTATATAAAATGATTTTAGGCTTCTTACATGGAATATGTCACACAATAGTTCCCTGAATTTTGTATCTCTCCTTTGCTTAGTCTCAGGGCTGAGTATACTTTAATGACAAGAACATGGAAGTCCAACTTTCTGATTTTATAGACAAATTTCCAAAACCCAGGGAGGGGAAGGAACAAGTCCAGGGTTTTCCAATAGATCAATGACATGGCTAGGAAGAGAGTAGGTAGCTACCTGTCTCTCAGTGCTTTGGAGTAGGTGGCGTTCTCTCCTATATTCAGAAAACATTTTTATCAGATCAGCCACTCACTTAATAAGTGATCGTAAGTTCAACCACCCTTCACGGCTGTGATCAGACACCAGGAGCTTGGTTTTCAGAGCAGGGCACTCTGAAGTCATGGAGTCCACGTCTGGGGCAAGGTTCTCTGTGGTCACAATGGCCTTGGCTTGAGACAGCTGTAGTCGGTAGAGGATGTCCTTAGCCTTTAATTGGCTGGTCCCAGGAATGTAGACAATCCCTGAGGGCAAGAAAGGAACCGCCTGCTTTCACATCCACGGACCTCAAGTTTGACTCATCTGCTGGGAATTCCCACAATGCTATGCAAAATACAGTCCACAGACCACTAGCCTCCAAACCATGGGGGATACAGAATCTTACTCCCCCGCCGTGCCAAATCTGTTCAATCACAATCTGAATCTTAGCAAGATCTCCAATTGATTCCTAAGAACATTAACAATTGAATGCTTTTCCTTAATCTTTTCTGCTCTATTTGGGTCCAACCTGAGGCTAGGTGGACCTTGGTTTCCACACACTTAGACTAGATCTGGGAATAGTGCTGTGAGAGGGACAGTGTTGCTGACATTAGGACTAGCTGCATCACAACGCTGCCCCCACCCCTTTTCCTCCCCTTCCCCCGAGTCCTTTGAAGTCATTTTGAATCTCCTCTATTTTACCAGAAGTTTAGCCACATTGCCCTCTGACCTTCCTTACCTTCTTTTCACCAGTACCAGCACCAGTCGCCAACAGTGAGCTCAAGCCTTTGGCTGTCGACACTGAAATCACATCCTTACTGGATGCTCTGTTCTGAATCTTCCCGCCACCTCAGGTTCACAAGCACAGGTTCACACAAGCACAAACCATCTCCCTCTACGTTTCTTCTCCGCACTACCATCTATGCCCTCTCTCTTCAGAAAGATGCCCTACTCCTTGCTCTGACCCGGCAGGCGCCGTCTACTCTTCATCTCCCTCATTACCTTTCTGCTTTAAAATGACCTTTCTTATATAGGCTAGTCCTGACTCGGCCTTTGCATGTGCTGGGTCCATAGTTGGAACACCTTTCCTTTGTTTTTGACCTTCTTTAATACCGCTTACCAAGAGGACTCAGCTACAGTCTCGAGCTTCCCACCAGTCACTTGTTAGTTCTACAGATGCATGGTTTCCCTTTTCTATACTCTCTTCTGCCTTTGCTGTCAATTCTCAAAAAAAATTTTTAATATTATTTTTAATTTATGTGTAATTTATGTGTATGAGTGTGTTGTTTACACGTGTGTAAGTGCACCCATGTCGTGTAGTACCTGTGGAGATCAGAAGAGGGCATTGGATTCCCCTGGAACTGGAATGGAACAACCATCCATAACTCCAATTTCACGGGATCTGATGCCCTCTTCTGGCCTTTGTGGGCATTGCACACATGCGCTGTACCGTCATACATGCGCAAAACACTCATACACATAAAAAATTAAAAAAAGATGAAGAGAAGTCTCTGCATAAAATCTTAACATGTAAAGGATATAAGTAGAAAATTCCCTCATGAAAACACCATAGTCATATTCAGCGCAGTTAGGAACTGTCAATGGAGACCCAAACGTACAATGAAAGAGTATTGTGGAAAAAACATTCACAATATCATCTAGGTAATGTGTAAGGAGAAATCTGGTTGCCGCCACCTAAGTCAAGTGATGAGATATTTATCATCAGTGGTGGAATAAGCCCACTTTACACCTTTTGATACGACACACTGATGAAGACACAATCTGGCTTTGCAGGATTCCTCTCAAAGGCATTTAACCTGAATGGCATCACAAAGAAAGAATTATAAGTCCAAAAACTGAGGTATATTCTGCAAAACAATTGCCTCGGAATTTTCCAAAACATCCTTGTCATGCAAAAGTGTCTGGAAAAGCATTCTAAATCAAAGGAGAGCAAGGACATCTGACAGCTAAATACAACGTATTAGTAAGCCTCAACTGGATTTAAAGGGAAATTGGCTATAAAGGACATTGCTCAGATAATTGAAGAATGTTTATTACTAATGTGTTTGGATAACTTTAGTGCATGATGTTAGCCTTCTTATATGATAGCTCCATTATGGTTATGTAAAGCAAGTATTTTGGATTTCAGCAGATTTACATGCTCCTGTGCTTACCTGATGCTTGTAGTTATCACACAGCAGATGAGAGAGAGAGAGAGAGAGAGAGAGAGAGAGAGAGGGAGAGAATGAGAGAAAGGGAGACATGTTTAGATCGTATTAATGTCAGAGTATGAGGGAAGAGAGGAAGAAAACATGAGCAGTGTATGTGATGGAGAGAACAGAGCCATTTGTACCAGGCTGGGTACAAAGCACATATCAGACCAGATGTCCAGCACGACCCCCACCTCTGGCATCACCGACCTGCTCGGAGGCAGCCCACAGTCACATATGTGATGGAGAGAAACAGAGCCATTTGTACCAGGCTGGGTGCAAAGCACATATCAGACCAGATGTCCATCACGACCCCCACCTCTGGCATCACCGACCTGCTCGGAGGCAGCCCACAGTCACCAGCCACCACTCAGGTACTCGAGGCAGAATCAAGGCCAGGTGATCTCCCTGCTGCAGGCCACAGGTCTGCGTGAAGACGTTGGCAGTGCGGCAGGTTAAGTCCCTTATCTTTCTGAAGCTCCATTTCACTTCATCTCCTTGGTTGTTCACCCACCATAGGGCTGGACCGGGACCTCTCTTGCCCTCCTAGTTAAGATTGTACACCAAGTGTCACTTCCTACTTCCAAGGAAAAAGATAATCCACCTCCATAGTGACATTCCAGCACAGTGTGGTGAGATCAAGTGTCACTTCCTACTTCCAAGAAAAAGATAATCCACCTCCATAGTGACATTCCAGCACAGTGTGGTGAGATCCCATTT